ATAAAACAACTCTGTTATATGTATAAGACTCATACAATAACAAGCATAAGTATATATCATATTTATATAAACATTATAGAAAACAATAGCAATATGAGACAACCATCTTGGGAAATCTCAAGAGATACGTGATAATTACCAAATGAGTGGCCATTTTAGAAAATATTCTTATAGTTTAAAGTAACAAAATTCCACTGGCTTACGGCTGAAAGAGAAATGTGATATGAAGCTACATGAATAAGTCTTAGGGTCTTCCAGTGGGAAGTGTCACTTGGCCTGACAAAGGATTATTGTGTCCACCATCTAAAAAGCCATGAGGAACATGGCAGCTGCCACTCCAGGCTTCTGTCTGCATATTCACTTTATTTTTCTGTCTGCAGAGCAGCCTTCTCTGCCTTTGTATACACAGATCAACAGAACACTCCTTTCCCCTCCTGCCCACCAAAACTCAGGCTCTGGATCCTCAATTTGAGCAACAGCAGAGGCTCACCAGCATCTCTGAATCCTGTTTCCAGATTTCCAGGGGAGATCTGTTTGGCCCTAATGAGTCAGGCGTCCATCTAACCTGGTCCAATCAGCTCTGACTGTGAGCCAGGCAGGAAAGAACAGACATGCAGCAGCTTCCTCTCCTGCCCGGCACCATAGATCCAAGGGGCTGGTCTCAGGGAAAAGAAGAGAGCTATGAGATGGGCAGATACCAACCAAAAGGTGTAGCAGTCAGTGTGCTTTATTGCAAACAGAACCCACTCTAGCTCAAGTGAAAAAGGAATTACAGAATTTTAGGTATTCCACAAATCTCTAGGATCAAGCCTAAAGGCTATGCATCAGGGAGCAATACACAGTCTACACTGCAGTGATACTCAGTGTCCACTGCCAGTGTAGATAATGTCCATGACCCTGGACAGCAGGAACCGGAAGTTCCACCGCTGGTGCCATCCCAAAGCCATTCCTCTGCTGCCACCATTTCCAAAGGATCAGATCCACGTAATCCACCTTCCTCACATGGCTCTCTTTCCAAACCTCTTTACTGGGGCACCTCTAGTTAGGGGAACCTCAGCCTTATGGCTGGAATGTGGTTACAAGATCAGCTGAAAAAGTGAGTTCATCCTGCTGTTAATAACTGGAAGAGATGGAGTTCCTAACTGGATGGAAGGAACTTCCCTAAACACGGAAGAGTTTTTCATGATAGTGGGCAGTCACAAACAGGCCCAATGCCTACGAGGGGTGTCTAAGATGGTAAGACTGAGTTAAATGTTGGGAGCTCAAACAGGGCCCCCAATAGGGAACACAGTGTTGGGGGCGGGACTGTTTGGCCCAGACACCACATTCATGAAAGACTTTGCAACCTTTGATATTATCTCCAAATGAAATGACACACAAAGGCTGAAGAGAGACAGCGATGGGACAGAATGAAGTTGTTCTCTGCCTTTAAACTGTACATGATGATTGAACCAGACTACCTCAGATATACTATGAATAAATTTTATAAGCCCCATGCTTGGAACTAGCACCACCTAATTACATAACATTGTATTTAATTTGTTATATGTAATCACTTAAAATAACCATCAACTTTTGTAATTCTGAGCTAGTATTTCTTTATTGGGGGCACCTGTTTCAGAAAGTAGAAGTGGCCAGGATCACCTTTGAGAGGCTCAGATCTCAAACAAGGGGAATCTTGTGGGCTGTTGGTGGTTGGGGGGAGGAGGACCCCAACTTGTCTCTGAAGGACTGGTAGGGTTTATTTTGATAATTGGAGGGGGGGATAGGAAATGTCATCATCGTTAAGTGTCCCTTTCAGAGTGAATCAAATATGTATCTATTTAAACAAAGAAACAACCATCCCTATCCTTGTCCCAATTTTCTTGGAGAGGAAAGCCCATTCCTGTGCGGTGGATGATTAGCAAGTCTCTGCTGCTTAAGTTGACTCAGTCCTGCGGGTGCTGACTCAGCTGCAGAGTGGGATTGACTCAGCAGGTGTTGACTCAGCTCAGAGTGGGATGTGGGGCCAGACTGAGGAGGAGGAGAAACCCATGGGGACCCAGGGTTGAGAGAGACCCAGATCTGCAGGCAGGGGGTGAGGTGGCATGGGAAATTGCTGCTGGCAGCGTTGGCATGGATAGAGGAAACATCTAGGAAAGTTACACAGGGTGTAATTGCAGTGCTGAGTTGTCCAATTTGCTCCTGAAAGGAACAATAGTCATGCCCTAGTTAATTGAGACAGAAGTTCTACATTGGGGCTTCCAGAGGGGCCCTTGGGGTTCAATTTGTCATGTTTATCTTGTGGAAAGGTTTTGGAGGTTGCCCAGGGAATATTTTAGGGGCCTTGGAAGTTTAGGGTCCAAAGTCCGTCCTCCCACCAGCTCTGTGATTTCAGATCACTGTGTCTGTGCATCAGAAGCTCCAGTGTCCCAACTAGTATCTTGTGTGTGTATAGAGAGGGGTGGTAGAGAACCTGCAGTTGGGTTTGCATCCCCAGGAGATCAAAAAGGCCCTGTTCTAGCCTCTCTCTTTGCTACTGAAATGGTGTCTTGGGACTTTCCTGTCCTAGACAGGCTACCCCCCAGTCTCCCTCCCCAAGTTCTGTTAAATGCTTCCCTGGCTCTCCCTCGGTTTCAGTTTCTATCCATGCCTTGTGGGCAAAAAGTCATGTGGATTCCACCCCTGAGGTGCCTCTCAGTACCTTAAAAAAAAACCCACTTGTAAATTGACTTGTTATATGCCAGACACTGTTCAAATCTCTTTGCAAATAAAATGCATCTACTCTAAGTTGCTTACATGTATTAGATTCATTTAATCCTCACAAAACATCTATGAGGAGTAGTTAGCTTCAATTTACAGATGAATAAACTGAGGCACAGAGAGTTTGCACGACTTGCCTTAACTTCACGGAACTAGGAAGTAGCAGAGCTGGGATTTGAACCCAGGCCCTATGCCTCCAGACCTTGGACACTCAAGCACTTCACCCTTTGCCTTTCCTCACTGAGAGCTTGCTACTGCACTGGGCTCGGCTTCAGTGCCTCCTGCCAGAGTTACTTCACATGACAGTCCTATTTTTTTTAAAGCTTGAAGTTATGTAATGTACATAGATTAATAAAGATTCAGAGGCTGAGCACGGTGGCTCCCACCTGTAATCACAGCACTTTGGGAGGCTGAGACAGGCAGATTACTTGAGGCCAGGAATTTGAGACCAGCCTGGCCAACATGGCAAAACCCTGTCTCTACAAAAGCAAATGCAAAAATTAGCTGGGTGTGGTGGTGGGCACCTGTAATCCCAGCTACTTGAGAGGCTGAGGCAGGAAAATTGCTTGAATCTGGGAGGTGGAGGTTCCAGTGAGCCAAGATCACCACTGCACTCCATCCTGGGTGACAGTGAGACTCTGTCTCTAAATAAATAAATAAATAATGAAGACTCCAAGTATGTTTTGAAATATTGTAATTTTCAGTTCAAAAATGTCAAAAATCCTGTCCTTTTCAAGGTGGCAGGCTCAGGGAATTGTCAGATGTGGTTAACTCCACTTCCACAGCCTAGAGGTACCAGATGAGCTGATAAAGACAAAATCTCCATCCTTTGTCAGTCCTCATGGGCAGCACAGTATTGTTGCCATGCTTTGGAAAGTCACAGAGTGATTTCTTTATTAATGCCCAGTTATGTTATCAGGTGCTGTTAGAATTGAAAATCTTTTTTTATATCCCATAACATTGGCATCCAAGTGCTGGTTAAGTGGTGGTACTTGGAGTAGTGTTCCGAAAATGGAGTGAACATCAGTAGCTTTCAACCAGAGGTGAGCGGTGCTAGCATGCCACCAAGAAGCCTGCGCAACCCCCATGATGCATGCTGCTGCCAACTTAGGAGCGAGCCCTCTGCAAACTTTGGATAGTGCTGAGAAAATGAAAACCAGCATTAAAGCCAAAAGCCTGTTTCTGTGGTTATAGATTTATGTAAAATAGAAAACATTCCTCTTATTTTACATGTATTTCTTCGGGAAGATTAATCTCATATGAAGTGAAATTCCTGTGCTGACTGATATTCCTAACTGCCTTACTGGTATTCTTCATTTTTTTCCTTGCAACTGAGAGAATGGCTGGCAGATTAATTCTGCTCAGAGGATGATCATGTCACTCTCCTGCTCAAAAACCTCCTGTGGCTCCCCACTGCCCACTAAGATCAGTCCCAGTATTCTCTGTAAATGGTGAAGTTGGGATTTTTACTCAGTTGGTCTGACTCCTAACTCTTGTCAAGGAGTAGGGCATAGTCCAGGCGGATTGTCAGGTGCACCAAGTGGGTCCGCCATTTGTCATTTTCCCATTGTTTTCCCTATCCATGATCTCTCACATCCTCACTCCTCCTTCCGTTTCCTTGTGTTGCTTTACGCAAAGGTGCAGCTAGCAATCTCCTACACTTTCGTGGGAACATAAGGCTGCTCCATCTCTTTCAGGGGGAGTTGCAAGTTATGCTTCATCTACCACAGTGAAAAGAAAGGCTTCACACCAGCCCACAGATGGAGTGATGGTCTGGGGGTCGTGACATTCTCATGACACCTCTGAAATTAAATCCAGTAGGTGATTACTTATGTTTAAGTAATTTTAAGCATTGGGCTGAAAATCCTGTTCAGCTCCATTTCATTCACAAATATGATGAAGCTTCTCCTGCGTGTACTGTGCAGTTACATAGACATTCTCTGCTAGTTGGATCTCTAGGGTGGAAGGTACCTTCTCCTGCTTTTGTGGCACTCACTATACTTTGAGCACAATTAAATATATAATGTGATAGGTACTTGATACACAAATGATTGACTGTCAGGCTACCTCCCATCCTGCCATTCTAGACCCAAGCCTATGCCCTTAGAGAGAAACACAGGTGCAATTTCAGGACGAAATATGAAGACATGGGGCTGAATTTATCCCCTCTGCCCATGGGTGGCACCAGGAGAAGCTGGCCTCAGAAGCCCCGGAAAAAAGCGAGCACAGTGGGCAGTGAAACTTGCCCCGAACAGAAGTCTTGAACAGAGATCACTTTATTGGCATGGCTTTGTTTTAAGAAAAGGAAAAGAGACAAAGGCAAGAGACAGACTCTGCTAACAGATGCCTGGGGGTGGCTGGACATTTGCCTCATGCTGTGCGAAGAGGGAGATGCTGGCCCACATCCACACTGCTCATTCCTTGGGACAAAATTGTCTTCCTGGGCCTCACTGCACCTTCTTGAATACTTGCTTGCAGACCACACCCTCCACTCTCATCTCCTGAAACAAAAGCGGATGTTGGTCATTGGCCAGAGCAGAGTCACACTCGTGGCAGGAACTTTGAAAATACTGGTTGGCTGTTATTTTTCTCCGAGAGTTGGTTTAAGTAACCAATTGTTTGGAAAGGCAGTTAAATTGTACAGTGGCGTGCTCTGCAGCACCCTGTAGACAGAGCTGGCTGAGTGGAACAGATGTGGCTCAGAGCTGTCCAACAGGACCCCCTGACGCTTCCCCTCCCGAATCACCTCCCGCTGACCCAGACTGACATCACATCTCAGAGAATTCTTCTTGGCTTTGGCCTACGCAATTTGGCATGGTGAATATATACATCATTTGGGAGCAAATGTTGGTTCTGTCAATTTCTAGATGTGCACTTTGGGCATGTAATCTAACCTTTCAGAGCCTCCATGTCTTCATCTCTAAAATAAGAACCATATTCCTATTCTGAGAGAATACAAAGAGTTATAGAATGCAAAAGGGCTTAGCTCACTGCTGATGCTTAATGGATATACCTCCTCACCTCTTCCCTCTGATTAGACAACTGGGTCAGCCTAGACCTTAACAACACATTGCTTGGATTTTAAAGTCACTCAAGCATGTTCTCCAGGCCCTTGGAAGAGAAGCTTCAGAACAGAACCAAGGCCCAGCCATAGTGCCTTCTTTCAAGGTCCATCTGGACCTCAACAACGACCAGGGCCTCTGAGGACCCAGCCTGACCCAGGCCAGGAACCTACCAGGTGCAGCTCGTCACCCTCGATCCACTGGGTCCAGCCACGCCCCTCCTTCTCGCCCTTCTGCACGCACTGGAGTTTGTCTCCGTCCCAGCTTACCGTTGTCTGCCAAGCAAGAGGCACATTTGTCAATCCCGAGCAAGCAGGAGCTCCTGGGGGCTGGGGGAGGGGGCAGCTCCCAAACTTGATAATCCAGGATGTGCTTCTGTCAATTTCATTGCAGAAAATTTGCAGCCTAATACTCCCTGTCCACCACATGCTTTTATTAAAGTGTGTAAATCAGTTTTAAAATTTATGAAAACCTTCATAAATTTTATTTAAAAGGGTAATTAGGAGGGAAAAAGTCGCTGGGGTGGAGCTGTCCCTGCAAGCGTGAAGAATGGGGCTAAGGTGGGGAGGAGGGGCTTCTGAGTACAGCTGGGTATGGGGGGTGAGGGATGTTTTCCTGAATCTTATGGTGGGGAGCAGACTTCTCAGAGTACCCTGACCATCCCCAGACACTTCATTCATCCAGTCATCGTTTCAACCTATGCTAAGTCCTGGGACACCAAAAAGACCCCACCCCTGCCCTCAAAGTGCTCTTCATCTCACAGGGAGAATGATCTTAGATATAAATAACCCAGTGAAGGCAGCTGTTAGCTGCCTGCCTGCTCTGCCACACACTCCCTGTGCTGTCTCTGAAGCCTCATGCCTGTCCACGTGAGCAAGGGTTAGCATCTCCTTTTCACAGATCAGGTTAAGAGACTTGCCAAGCTGACCCATGTTGTGCAGTGGAAGAGCCAGGTCTGAACACAGATCTGTGGGGCTCTGAAGGCCCCCTCCGCAACGGACTACACTGCTTCTTGAAGTGTTCAGGGTTATAGGCCAGAGGCTGTGGGAGCCCAGGTGAGAGTCCGGGGGTGGGAGGTACCAGGGCTGTGTCCTAAGGAGGAAGAATGGAGCCGAAGGAGGGGAAAAGAGGCGCTGGGGAAAGGAGTTCCCAGTGGACCATCACGGGGTGAAGGCCCGAGGTGGGACAGCAGGACGTACCCTCAGGAGCTCATCAGATCACCAGGGAACTGAGGAAGGGGAGGAAGATCCCACAGCCCAGCCCGGGCTCAGCGGAGCACAGATGAGCATTGTGGCGCCCTCTACACTCCACCTTCGGGCCCCCACATCTTCCCTGAGCTCTGTGAGCCCTGCCGGGTGCTGGGCATGCTGAAGGGAAGACAGGCAGTAGGAGGAGGCCCACCTTGTGTCCTGGGGAGATTTCAGTCTTAGTGGGGCAGGAAAGGCCCACCTAGCAACACAGGGCTGAAAAAAGTGTTGGAGTTCAGGGGCAAGGTGGTCCTGTCACCCCAGCATAGCCATGAGTGTGCCCTAGACTGAGAACATGTCCCAGGTGTGGGCACACAGAAAGTGCAGGGGGCATCACTCATATTTGGGGCTGCCCACCTCCTTTTGAATAGCTGTCTTACAAGGGGCAGCTCCAAGTTATAAGCCCAGCCTCCCCACAGTAGTGCTCAGATCTCTGTTTGCCCCTTGCTTACTGTGTGGCTCTCAGCAAATTCATCCCTTCTCAGGGCCCCTGTGGTCTCATCTATCACATGGGGACATTAACTCAGGCCTTGGATGTAGAGAGCTAATTCTTGTGTCCCTTGCTGTACTCAGCTGAGTCAGGACAGTCAGTAACAGCCTGATAAATGATTTGGGAGAGGAGACTTATGGGAGCTAGGTGTGGAGTTAGTGGGACCACTCCCTACAGGAGGACCTCCCACCCCAGGCCTCCTTCTGGGCCTGCTGACCACTACTGCCCTCTGCTGTTGGGGTGAAGCCTGCAATGCAACACCCACACCAGGGAAGCAGGTGGAGCCACGTGTGCTCCCCCAGCTTTGCATAGGAATAAGTCTGGCCTCTGCTCCAGAGAGAAATGGGGCACAAAAGGGCTTGAGGGGCAGCTCCTCGCCCTGATCCAGAAATTCACTGGGTGCAGTCTAGTCCCAGGCCAGAAAGAAGGTCTAGCTTCCAAGTCAAAATATAGAGTGGTAGGGCCAGGCTAAGTGGCTCATGCCTGTAATCCCAGTAAGTTGGGAGTCCAAGGTGGTGCATCACCTGAGGTCAGAAGTTTGAGACCAGCCTGACCAACATGGTAAAATCCCATCTCTACTAAAAAAAAAAAAAAAAAA